GTAAAACAACTAGAAGAGCTCTCTTTTTTCCAGTTGAAGTGCTGAGTTTTTTGTTCTAGTTGAAAAGTCAAGTATGCAAGCTTATAAGTCCTTGAATGGATTAAAGCTACTATCGAGACAATGACATAAATGTGATGCATAAGTCATATGGTGTCACAATTTTTTTTGAGGTATTTTATTGAGAATATAATTTGTGGAAAGCAAAATTTCTCCCCACAAATTCTAAGTTAAACCAGAACTTATTAACATAGCATTCATCATTTCTTAATACCTTGATCTTTTTGCCAAGTTGATTCTTAACCTCTTTTTTTGTAATGTTTAAACATTTCTAAGGTTTCATTTTTACTTCGTAACAAATATATATAACAATATCTTGTGCAACCATTGACAAAAGTAACGAAGTACCTTTTTCCACCTCTAGTTGACACATGTTTAAGATAATATACTTCATAATATCATATTACAAAATTAAAATAATTGAACCAATAGTGAATTATATAAATAATTCAATAATCTACTTATATAACATGCTTCAATTTCATATAATATTGAACCCATCAATATTTAGCTTATTATCATATAAATTATATTAACATTATTTTATTATATCTCAATTATTAGTATAATCTCTACTTTTTTATATCTGAAATAGAAGCATATAATAAATTCTACGCAAAGAAGAATCTGTTTTAAGATTATTGGTAAATATATATGCTTCATGTAACATTTAAGATATAACAACCCTTATACTAATATGTGTTGAGTGTGCACAGCGGAATGGTTGTGGAATATATTATATGGATAGATTATCTAGAGAGATGGTAAATAGATTCAATTTACTCTTTTATTCAATTTTTACTTATTTTAATTTTACCGAAATAAAACTAAAATCAAATCACAAAGTAAAAATAAAGTGCAAGTAAAGTAAATAGAGTTCGAGTGATGACACCAGGATTTTATTGAGGAAACCCCAATTGGTAGAGTAGACCATTTGTAACATGAAAAACCTCGTTGGACTTCGCAGTCCTGAGATAAACGATCCACTATGTTTGAAGCAAAGTATACTGAACTATGACCCAGTCTCACACCCTATCATTCTACCAAAAACCAATTGCTGACAATCCCTGGCTTTGCGACTCCCCCGTCCAACAACTCTCGACCTCAAGCTTACTCTTGATCTCTGTAGAAGAGTTGCAGGTAGATCAGACAACACTCCACGAATGCTCTGACCCCTTCAAAGTGTGATCGCTTCACCCCTTTTCTTCTAGATCTGAATTTAATGAAGAACGAATGAATTATGCTTTTCCGGAATTTCTGAATCTTCAATTATGCTTCAATTCCGATGAGATAGAGAACAACACTCCTAAATCACTCTTGTGTTTATGTGTGTGCTCTCAAAAATAAAATCAGAAAAATCAGATTGATTTTCTGAATGAATAAAAAATATCTCTCAAAAGGCTCTCTCAAAGATCTGAAATTTTGTATGCAAAAGCCGTGTCTAAACCAATGTGTATGACAAGGTTTATATAGAGTTTAGAAAGTCTTAATCCCTTAGAAAATATGACAAAATTCGTGCATAGGATTTGGAAGGAAGTTGGGGTTAAAAAGGAAACATTCAGAAGAAGGAAACTGAAGTTAGAATAGTACCAGGACTTCTTGAACCTGTTCGATAAATTTTGAACCGGTTCAAGATGGACAGACTCTAAAATCGCCACTCTGGTGAAGTTGAACCTGTTCGATAAATCTTGTATCAGTTCAAGTTAAACCTGTTCGATTATTCTTGAACCAGTTCAAGATGGACAGAATGTAAAATCTTGTTCCGAACAAAATGGAAAGTGTAGAATGTGTCCAACCTTTTTTAGAATCCTTCTTAATGTGTTGTTCTTACCTTCTTCAAAAAAAATCTCAGTTATTGTAACTTTGAACAACCTTTCCTTTCTGCAGTCGTTGTCGATCCAGATATACTAACTTGAATTTACAACTGACTAGGACTTGTTTTGACACCGAAAGTTGCCAATAACAGAATATATATATTTTACAATCTTCCCAAAATATATATCTTACAATATGCTATGAGATAATTAACAATATGCTAAGAAATAATTAATTAAATATGCAACTATATATTTAATTAAATATGTAAAATAAGGCAATGAATTAATAAATAATAAATAAAGAACCTGGACCGAGCTAGGCTAGTATTGAATACTATGTCCTTAAGACAGATTCGCCCCGCTATGGTGCTAACGGACTCAGTGACGTCTATCTCCCAAGATACAACGGTCTATATTCACCAGTAGCAGCACTATAAACTCCTGGATACGGCGAACCTCCTTCGTGTAATACTCTCTCTGGCTCAAAAATGCATTTATACTATATAAATAATGGATTGGGTGCATCCGAACCAAATGGCTCAAACCAAATTTAATATGGCTCAATGAAATTGGTTTTGTGCCTAAGTGGCTTAGACCACTTGACCATGGCTTGAACCCACAACCACTTGGGTTGGGTTCATCTTGAGGGAGGGAGAGAATAATAAATTGCACACTTTAAATGGCAACCAAGGGTGGGTATTTATGGAGAAATTGGTGCCTCTTGGTTGATGGACATGTCTCTTTACTTGCATCCCTTCTACAAAATCTGGTTTAAACTACCCTTCACACACCTATTCACTTTAGGTGCAGTTCACATTGAATAGACATAAGTTTGGGTTGCTTCTCTTCCTCTCACAACCCTTTATCGCACTTTTTACTGTTTGGTTATGGGATGAAAAGATGCAACTCAAAACCAACAAACATAACTATTCATGTGAATCATTGCAACCAATTAGAGTGGATGTGTTCAGTGTGAAGAGACACATATAAATAGTTGTGTCCAATGATGAAGAGACACATATAAATGGTTGTGTCCAATGATGAAGAGACACAAAAAGGCATCTTGTTGCCTATAAATATTCCCCTTTGGATCATTTGCAAATCGTTCATTTCATTTTTTTCTATCTTTTTCTCTAGACTTGAACCCAACCCAAGTGGGTTCAAACTATAGGTTAAGTGGTCCGAGCCACTTAGACCCTAATTCAATTTCATCGAGTCATATTAAGATTAGTCAGAACCATTTAATTCGGATTGTACCCAATTCAGCATTTATATAGTATAGATGCATTTTTTTAGTCAGAAAGAGTATTACATGGAGGAGGTTCGCCATATTCACGAGTTTATAGTGCTGTTACTGGTGGATGTAGACCGTTGTATCCTGGGAGATAGACGCATGGATGTAGACCGTTGTATCCTGGGAGATAGACGCCACTGAGTCCGTTAGCACTATAGCAGGTCGAATCTGTCTTAAGGACATAATATTCAATACTAGTATCTGGTTCTTTATTTATTATTTATTAATTCATTGCTTTATTTTACATATTTAATTAAATATATAGTTGCAAATTTAATTAATCATTTCTTAGCATATTGTTAATTATCTAATAGCATATTAGTATGAGGATTGTTATATCTTAGATGTCACATGAAGCATATATATTTACCAACAATTTCTACTTCACATGAATAAAAAACACAAAATAAAAACGCTTACGAATTCTCATTTGCCGTAATACAATTTTATAGAACTCATTGATCCTTATGTTTTAAAAATATATAAATGAATAAAATAGAACTTATTTGAGAACATATATAAAGTAACAAACACTCTTTTGAAAAAACAAAAAAATAAATAAAAAATAAAAAATAAAAAACCTCATTTTTCTGAATAGACTAAAGGTCTTGTCCCTGATGCAATAGTGATTCTTGACAATTTGCTAGTGTTTTTGTATTTTCCGTAATGAGTGGATCATAAGTTTTTGTATTACAACATAAGTTTTGTATTGCATTTGAGGTACAAAATCCTCACACATGGAAACCCTCAAACGTGAGGATTGTGAAATCTCGGATGCCTTTTCGAAACTAATTGTATTGCATCGATAGGGTAGGTAATGATCTTGTATAATAAATGAATGGAGAGGCTTATATATTAATCTCATGAGTATGGTAAAGAAACTTAAATGTTACATGTCACTACTCATATTAGTTAATCAAAATATAATATGATAATGCATTTGCAAATAATTTCCTAGACTAAATTTGACAAATAATTCCGTATGTAAACCCCTCAAATTTTGGAATCCTGTTATTGTTATTATTATTATTTTTTTGGGGGCAAGTAATTTTGGTGTCTTTTTTTTTTTTTAGTTGATACTCACCTATGTCTTCACTGAGACTCGAACTCCTGAACTCCCTTCTCTTTGAGAACCTCCATTGAGACTCAAATCCCTAAACTCTCATTAAGAAGTAAGGACACGATACCATTAAGCAACTGCCCCTGTTGATTTTGGGGTCATTTTCTTTTATACAAAATGAACACATATGCATTATAGTTTGATCAATTTGCCTTTTTAAGAACAAAATTAACACCATACAAAAATTTTACAAAGGGATCATAGCATATAAATCATATCAGTCAACAGACTACTTATAGTCTTATCTGCATCTACTTTCTAAAGATGCCTATTTATATATATATATATATATGACCTATTTGATTAATATTAATTGATTACATATACGATGAGCAGCAACAAAGCTCAATTGCACCAAGAATCGTGTAATTTAGTGTTCTCTTTTACCTCTCAAAGTGAAGGGTGACGATCCGAATTTCCAAAGGAACAAAAATAATTTAGTGTTCTCTCTTCTGACTCTCAAAGTGAATGGTGATGATTCGAATTTCCAAAGAAACAGAAGTAGGGTATGTGAGTGGATTGTTGTGTTTCTTGCCAATAAAAATAAATAAATAAATAACAAAAAACACTCAATTGAATGCATATATATATATATATATATATATATATGGTCTCATAATTCATTGCATATATGGTTAATATACTAAAATATAAAAACAAAATGAAAACGCAAAACTTGCAGGTGATTGAATCCTGATTTGAGGTACGTATGTTGACAGTAAATATGAGCTAATTAGCAATTGATTCTAATTATCCACAGCAGAATGAACATTGCAGCTTCAATAATGTTTCTTGGTTGTCACTTTTCTCAGAGAACATATAATCAACTAGTGTGGGACTGTGAATGGTAAAGTCAAGTGTGATGAGGAAATTACAAGGCCAGATGCTGAGAAAAGGCACAAATAAGAAAGAAATTGTTCACTGACAACTTGTCCAATAACAAAAATACAAAAGGAACTAGAAATGCAGATCAGCAGTCTTGGACAAGAACAAAACCTGTGCTCAATATCAGTTTCTTCGCTATTACAGAGTTCTTGAATCTTGATCAGTCTTTCTTTTATAAGGTTTCACCAATCATTCTGCAATCATAAAGCACAAGCCGTTGTCAAGCATTATGCAAAGTCCATACAAAATCAACCATCCAGATAAGTGATCAAGTGTCGAGAAAATAACACAAACCACTGAATCGGATATCAGATAGCATTACGAGCATTTTCATCCACCTGAGGCGGCACATTTAACCAGGAGGCATTGAATGAGTTGCTACCATTATGGAATTTGAACCACGCTGCACAGTAGATTTTTTGAAATGTCAATCATTATAGATGTTAGTCTTCCTTTTATAAGGTTTCACCAATCATTCTTCAATCACAAAGCACAACCCGTTGCCATGCATTATGCGAAGTCTATACAAAATAAACCATTCAGGTGAGGTAAGTGACCATGTGTCAAAAAATAACACAAACCACTGAGTCGGATCAGATACCATTACGAACATTTTCATCCACCTAAGGCAGCACATTGTAACTAGGAGGCGGCATTAAATGCCCTACTACCATTGTTGCTTTTGAAACATGATGCACAGTAGATTTTTTGAAATGCCAATCATTATAGATGATAGCAAGTGATATCACCACCAAAATATAAGTCCAATATAAATCTTGTACTATGAAATTGATGAGCAATAAACTCAGACAAGCTATGCGTTTATTTAGTTTAGTTTCTTTTTTAGAACAGCTCTCAAGAACTCAACAATAAATAAACTGTTTTCAGTGAAATATAAAATACTATTTTCTAAAGACATGTCTATTAACTGATTTTCAAAAAACAGTTTTCATAAATTTGCCCAACCAAACGAAATTGCGTCTTTTTGTTTTGTTTTCTGAGAACCAAACAAGGCACCATGCATCTAATGCCTTGCACATTCCTGGTTTGTTCTCTTGATTTTATCTCTTCACCTACATGAACCAGAATTTTATTCCCAATAAACTATATTTCCAACAAACAGTAAACGTTATGATTAACAAATTTCCAATAATTATATTTTTTCCTAAATGAGGCAGTTGAAGCTCCAAATTAAGAAAACTGTACTCACTTCTCTATCTTATTCAATTTCAATATTGCCTGTTAGTTAAATTGTATGGAGTCTTTCTTCATTCAACAGAATTAAACGGGACTGCTAAAGAAATATGCTACTTTGCTTGACATTATTGTTCCTAAATTGTGGGCTTCACCACATAAATTAGCATCTCAAGCTCATCAAAAGCCTGAGAAAAGCTAAACAACACTTAAACGGCAAATATTTTTCTCGATGGCCACATATATGTTTGAAGAAATCTAAAAATACTGAGCAATAAATTAATGGAATTGTAAAAAATTACAGAAACCATAATGTCATTTATATTATTACCATAAGCCCCTCCTTGAAGGCCAACTCCCAAGCCAGATTTACTGCCTCTTCGCTAGAAACCTGTCACATAACATTAGTAGAATGCAATATTATTGGTTTTCCAATTTTTATTGGCGCGACATTCTTAATATAACAATAATGCTTACCGGAAGAACTACTTCCATGACATCCATGTCCAATATATCTGGTTTGACCCATTACCAGTTATATGGGGTGGCCCTGTATCATAACAGAGTAAGAAACTTCAAATTCTCCCACAAACCAAAACAATGGATCTAACAAGGGACGGTGTATTTGAATATTTATATTTTGAGTTGGGATCTTTTTTTATTTTAATAAAATCTTTTGCTTAATCCATTAATTAGCACCAAAAGTCACACAAATAAACACACACACACACACTAAAAGAGGTCAGAAAATATCACAATGATTATAAAGAACCAAACATAAAAATACTGCGTTGTTTTATTTTAATATCTAGCACTCTTAACAAATGAAAATATGTTGGAAGAGATACTTTCATAACTCTGTCTCAAACCCTTTGCAACGCCTTAGGCTTTTAGTTAATCCATTCAAAGGGTAATCATATATCGTCCATTGACGAGTGAGAAAATGGGAACCTAGGCCAAAGATTGGGGAAGGAATCTGCACTACAGAGAGATCAAGAGAATGCACCTAATAAGGCCTTACTAGCCAATATCCATAGGATCAAATAAAAAACATGCTTGTCTATTAATACACGAGACAAGCTCTTTGTTGCTCAAACTCATTCATTTTCACTAGTCTGGAAATTAGATCTCGCTGTCCAAATTGGGATTCATGCTTCACTGGAATTGATAAAAATCAAACAAATCTGAAGTGTCCAAACTGTTCATGAATAGCTTACTCATTTATAGTCATTTACATGGACTCATGTTGGACTAAACTAATTTATGAAACTGTTAAGAATTGGATAAGTAACAATCAGTATAAAAGCGCATATATATATATATACAAACATAACTGTTCCAGATAAGAACCATTAGCATGTCAATTTAGGTGCAGAAAAATAACATCGAGTCCTGATATATTCAAGGCTTCAGTGTGAAAACATGTTCATTGACTGCATAAATATTACTCATGTTATAGTAAATACTGTAGACAAATCATTGATACTACGATGTAATATTTACACATGTTGGATCAGCTTTCCTTTCATAAAGTTTCACCCATCACTCTTCAATCACAGAGCACAAGGTACAAAATAAACCATTCAGGTAAGTGACCGTGTATCGAGAAAATAAGACAAACCACAGAATCAGATCAGATAGCATTATGAGCATTTTCACCCACCCGAGGAGGAACATAACTTGGAGGCGGCATAAAATGACTTGCTGTCATTGTTACATTTGGAGGAGGCAGCACATTGTAATCAAGTGGCGACATTCAATAATTTATTGAATCTCGCTGTGCAGTAGCTTTTATGAAATGTCGGTCATTATAGATGACAGCAAGTGAAATTGCCTTGATAAAACTGCCAACCATACAAAATTTAATCGTTTCGTTTTCTGGAAATGGAAAATTGAACCGAACAGACACAGTGCATTTAGAGCCACATTCCTGGTGTACGCCCTTCGTGCTTTGTTGTTGGTTTGTTTGTTTAATCTCAGCTTGCTTAAAATAAAATAAAGGAAACCTGATTCATCACCGCCACTGGACAATGAATTCCGGATATATTTTGATTTGATGCAGGCGATGGTTGCCAAGGATAGAATGCTCCTAATCCTGATGGTGCTGCCGTATGAACATCATTAGGAATGGGAATTTGATTCATAGGAAGAGCAACTTCCACCATTGTCGACATCATCTAATGAAACTCAAATCGTCAAAGCAAATAAGAATGGCAAATTAACTGCATTTAAATTTTTTTTCAAGAACATGCCTTCACATATATACACACCCATATAAATATATGTATATATATAAAGAGAGCGAGATTACTTCAACTAGATGCTGTATTTCTTAGGTCTATTGGTTTACTCCTCAAGTATTTGAACCTTGTGTTTTTGTAAAGAGAAGATCACTTATTTATTATGGTAGAGCAACCAAGAAGAGTAGAGCATAAAAATATACAATTTCAACCAGATGCATACCAAATGAAATGAAATGAAACAGAGTATATAGCCCGTAGAAACAGGCATTCACATACTGAAAAGAGTTGGCCTTGTGCAGCTGAGAAATACCAATAGTTGAAATTGCCAATCTAATTAGTGATTTGTTAGATACATAATCATGAATTCCACATTCCTGGTTTGATACCACGCTGGTGGTGCCATATATGAAGTTTTGTATGGAGCATGGCAAATTAAGTGCATTTAAATTTGTTCAAAATACATGCATGCACACACACACATGTACACTCACATACACACACACACACACACACACATATATATATAGAGAGAGAGAGAGAGATTACCTCAAACTGCAGGCGACGGTTGCAAAGGATAGAATGCTCCTGATCCTGATGCATATGTATGAAGAACATTGGGATGGGAATTTGATTCATAGGAAGAGCAACTCCTCCCGCCATTAATGTTGACCACATCATCTAATGCAATTCAAATCGTTAAACCAAATATATCCAATCGTGCACGCTCACATATATATGTATAATAGCAAATGAAATATATATATACAATTTCTGTAGAGCAACCAAGAAGAAACATAGTACTATAAACAGAGTACTACACTGAAACATGCATTCACATACTGAAAAGAGTTAGCTATGTGCAGTACTATAAACTGTGCACCCTTTTAGTTTATGCTATTATACAATATTTATACATCGAATTTATATATTATTGATCATATTATAACAAATGAAAAAAACATATGTTGGCTACCATACCTATCTTTTTCCAATTCTAGGGAAAAAAATTAATAGAAAAGAAAAGTGCATCCTATTCAAGAACTTAATCGAACTGATTTACAACCATGTTCAACTTTAATCTAAAATCACATATTTTGAAGAGAAAGCTTAAGAAGCACTATTCTTCCATGAGATGGAGTTGCAAGTGGCAGAAAAGTTCAAATCAACTCCATCTCAAAATCGATCCGTCTCCACCCCCGAAGGAGATAGAGAGATCGAAGAATTCTCACCAGAATTCTAAGTCGGAACAAGATAGAAAGAACTCGTACCTTCACCGGAGTGTGGAGAGAGACAGAGAGAACGATAGATAGAGAGGAAGAGAGAGAAACACAGAGAAAACGAGAGATGGACAGCTCTAGAGAGAGAGAGCAAGATTGATGCGGCTGCTCTGCTATGTCTTTGTATGACACGTAGAACTATATATTTGAAACGTGGCAACATTAAGGACGGATAAGTACATCATTCGAACCTATCCGCCATAAAGCAAAATGCAAATGAAAAAAAATTAATAATAAATGGTGCGTTTAGTACCCTTTTTATTTTCTATTTTTGAAGTCTTAGGAAAATAAAAACATGATTTTATTTTATTAAGTAAAAATAGGAAACAGAAATGATGCTTATTAACTGTTGCTACAAATTTAAAAACATAAAATAATAACAGTATTTAGTAATACAATATATGTATTTAGTAATACAACATATTTGTTACAAAATATATATAATATTTTTTAATTTTTTAATTTTTTTTTTTTTTTTTCATGGCAATAATTTTAGGAGTTGTGTAATTAGAGGGGAGGGTGAGGGGGAGGGTAAATGACTTGAATACGAACTCTCGAATACAGGAAGCAACCCAATCACTCAAGCACGATACTTGCTTCTATTAGTATCAAAAATTTATAAATTTAGAAAATCTAATTTTAAATTTTAAATCTTTAAAATAACCAATACATCATAAGTACAAAATTAGATATACCAAAATAAAAAATTCTCACCAATTATGTATATAAATACATATATATGCATAATGTATACATTTATTATGTGATATATAATATATTTAGCATATGATAATTTATTATGAATAAAAAAATATTAAATAATATATCTTATATGTAATAAAATATATATTGTGTTATAATATTTTAAATTTATTATAATTTAATATTTACATATAGTATAATATAAATATGATATATAATAATATAAAATATCTACTGCTTAATAATTTAATAATATTATATTCTATATCAAAAATTATTTTGTCACAAAATAATTTACATTATTATTTAATAAATATTTTTTCTCTACATATTATTTAATATATTATATATTAAAATATATTTTTATCAAATAAAAAATAATATACAATTTTAATATATTCTATATTAAAAATATATATTTTTATTAACATTTAATATGCAACTTAATATATAACACAAATAATATGAATTTTATTTTAAATGAACAGTGCCTATGTAATAATATTAGTGAAAACATTTCCGTGCTACAGTGCCAAAAATATAAGAAACATCATTTTTTATATTTTCTCTTTTCTTCACAAAAATTAAAAACATTTTCTGTTATAGAAAAACAAAATATTTTATTGAACGTGATTTTTGTTTTCGTTTTGTCTTTTCAGAGGTTGATAACAGAAAACAAAAAACGATTCTTGTTACTAAACGCAGCCTAAATTTCGGTATATGACAAATAATTCATGACTAATGATACTTGTACTTATTAGGTTTATTATTTAATGTAATAATGATCAATTTGTACATTTAAAAATTCTGTTTAAGTTACATTTAGGGAACATTATTCATAATTCAGTGGGTAAACCTACAAAATTTTGTGTCATTTTCTTTTATTAAAAAATAACACAAATATATTATATTTTGATCAATATGCCATTTTCAACAACCAAAATAACACCACCATGCAAAAAAAAAAAAATTACAAAGGGATCATATTATATAAAATTATATTAATTCATTAGATTATTTGTTTCGATTATGGATCTAAACACACACTAAATGCACTAAACAATCTTGACTAATCTTTTGTTAAGTTATAATTGGTGGATTCTTTTTCTTTTTTTTTTCTTTTTTTTTTATTGACAAAAAATTCATATATCTATTTATTCTCACTGAGACTCGAATTGAATTACTTACTTTACGGTGCTTGCTCAAAAGACCCTTATTATAGTCATTATAAAAATTGTTAGAAAAACAATTTAGTAATTGCATAAGTGGGCAATGCTTACTTCTATGTAAATTTTAAAAAGTTAAATTGGATTTCGGATTTTATTAAAATGTAATTACCTTTTCCCTTTCCAATGAAAGTTATTCTCGAGAGATTTCGCCTTGCAGTACCAACTAACGGCCCAACTTGGCTCACTAGTTTTCTCTAGAGCCTTTGACCCACCTGGCACATTTACACCTAAAAGGCCTTAGTAACCTAATGTCATAGGATCAAATCTCAAGCTCTTTGTTGCTAAACTCAAATTCATATTCTTTACGAGTTGAAAATTAAATTCACTTTGGATCGATTAATAATCAAATGAATCTAAAAAATTCAAACAGTTTATGAATAGTTTATTTTATTTATTTTTATTATTATTTTTTTTTTGACGTTAAATGAATAGTTTACTCATTTGTAACTTTATACATGGTATCGTGTTGAACTACAATAATTTAAGAATCTATTAAGAATTGGATAGTAACCAACTAATAAAAAAGTGCACATTAGTATTCTATCCTTATATAAGATTACCACATATATATATATAATTACCATATACATATATGGTTTACTTATTCATCACACATAACCCTCTTATATAAACCCTTTTGTATACATCTCAATATGAATTAATATAATATAGAGTTATACTCTGTCAATATAATATAGAGTTATACTCTCTCGGCTCAATATAATTTGAGGCCTTAGGCGGAAAAAAATAAAATAGTCTTTTAATAGAGTTTACTCATATGCTCATGCAAGTAATATGCTCATTATTTGTTTTGTGATTTTAAAGTGTAGTACTAAAAAAATTTCAATCTCTAATTCTATCGTTAGCTAATTGACTATGTACTTTCTATAAGACATATTCAACAATATAAATAAAAATGATGACAACACACAAACAAAACAAATAATTTTATGATAACAAAATTTAATAAAATTATAAACTAATTGAAGTTATAGAATAATAGAAACTAATTTCAAAGAATTTGGTCCTATACTATAAAAAATTCTTTAATAGAATAAAAATTCATTCAAAAACTTGTGACGGAGTGAGGTTGTAAATGGTAGGAGTAAAGAAGATGAAAATAAAAAATAAAATATATATATATATATATATATATATATATATATATATATATATAATGAGATGATAAAAAATATTTAGAGGAAAAAAAATATGTGAGGAAAAAAAAAAAAAAAAAAAAAAATCAAAGTTCATAGGTGTCTTACAAAAATATGGAAAGTTTCACAAGTCCCACCACAATGGATAATATTATGGTTAGTGTAATGATAACGAGGAGTAATATATATGTATACATGTGTGTATAAGCTCATGTAATAAGGATGAGAGAGAGAGAGAGAAAAAAAAAAAAGTAATAGAAATATAAAAATATTTTGAGCCTAATATTAAATTTCTCTATTGATTGAGGTTTAATAATAGAAGAAAATAAAATTTTTAGGTAACTTATAATATAAAATGAAAAATTTTTGGGGGATAAACAATAGAAATCTTTTAGATCACTGTCAAATCCCTTGTTTAATAATTAACATAATTATTGTAAAAAAGTTATACTATATAAAGAAATGAAAAATTATGAAGCTTTCTTATTAGCTGAGGACTTAGGCGACCGCCTAACTTACCTAAGGTTCCAACCGCCCCTACTTTCTCATTTATATTTAACAAGGTATCAGAGCCTCTCGATTTCTGGTAACAATCTTATCAATTAATAGTAGTCATCGCCGAGGATGGCACCATCAACCCCATCCCTAGTGGTCAACCTTCGGTGATCAACCTTCAAACTTATGCTTACGCATCCCAACCTTTAGTCTCAAGTTCATAATCAGCAAAAGCCTTATTTGGCCATCCAATCAGCCTCCAAGACACATCAACAACAGTGTTAGCAGTAGTATGTCACCTGCCACGACAGTTGTCATGTCGTACACAGCCAGCAATGGTGCCAACAGTAGTGCCACGTCAGTTGCCATGTCAGACACAGTCAGCAGCTGCGGTGCCAGCAGTAATGCCATGTCAGCTGTTAATCGTGTCTCCATCTTCATCATGGGTGAAAACTCATCTTCACCAAATCACTTCCGCCGTATCGCTTTCAATATCTCGTTTCCAAACTCAAGATAGTTTCATTCAATCCACCTTGATTTTGAGGGGGGCTGTTAGAATATATTGTATAATATATTCAAACATTGTATAGGATTATCATATATATAGTTACCATATACATATAGGGTTTACTTATTCATCACACATAACTCCTCTTATATAAACCCCTCTTGTATACATCTCAATACGAATCAATGTAATACAGAGTTTTATACCTCTCCTTATTTCTAACAAGTAAGTCAATTCATGTATAGAAAAAGAGGACTACTAAACACAGTCGCAAGTGCAACTATGGCTCCACAGTCGCAATTTTTATTAGATAGTTTTAAATGGATTTGACTTCCTTTCTTTTTACAGTTGTGTCGCAGTTCCTATTGGATAGTTTTAATTGGATTTCACTTCTTCTTTTTTTTACAGTTGTTTCAAGTCTAGTGTTTACAGCCAACGTATTGCTGGTTATCCCCAACTCTTCCTCTCTTCAAGGAACTTTGTTTGAAAGAGAAAGAGAGAAATCCATAGAAAGGGAGGGGTTGTCAATACTTTTCTTTAAGCTCTCAAATAATAGTATGGAATAGAATAGTGTCTCCTTATCATTTTTTTTGTGTTTCAGGGACATGTAAACTCACAACTCAAAAGATTTCATAATATACATAATCCTGAAGAACAAGATATGGTATGATGTAATAAGTGATGATGCTCACTTCAAATTGAGAAAATTTGACTTTTACTTTGAATTTTATAGGTTCATTTCAAGGCAATAGATTTGGACATTGACGATTGTTATGGCGTAGAGCAAGATACACACTTGATGGTAGCTAATCTTATTATAATGTATACAAATATTTTTATTTTTATTTTTATTTTTACTTTTTTATCATAGTATAATATGTATATTTGATATATATAACAGGAAGAGAATTATTGTCATATGTTTGCTTCTAACGAACTTACACAAGATTGGAGTTTTGAGTTAACACCACCTTCTACACAACATTTTGACGTATATATTAAATTATTA